CACACACACACACACACACACACACACACACACACACACACACACACTTGAGGGGGGTGGGAGAATAAAATCTAATGACTGAGTAGGTTCAAGTTTAAAAGGATATTCTAAAATAGACTTAAGAATCTGAGGCTGAGGTGGGGGAGATAGCAAAAAGTGATCTGTGTCAGCAGTAACACGTGGTGTAGTGAAGAAACATTCGCTTTTCATACAGCAGAAGCTCCCAGAAACAAAGGTTGAACCTCAAATGCCACACAGGCACTATACAACCGGACTTAAATTTTCTCAGGAAATATTCTTAACCACGTAAGTTTTTCTCTCTCTGTCCTTCAAATTAACCTCCAGGCCACACGTGTCCCCTGATTGCTAAAGCTGGTGGCTGGGTTTCATCTGTGTAGACCGCAAGCCTACAGGTGTGTGGCTGTGCGTGTTACTGAGGAAACACTAAGCCACCTGGGAGATGGAGAATCAGATATGCAGGCAGACAGCTCCATTTGCCTTAGGCCCTAATTACTTAAATTTACTTCTGCAGCATGCAGAACCCTGTGATGGGTCCCAAAGGAGAGGCAGAGATAAATAGTACCTTCTGTTTACTTGGTATATGTTTGAAATTTTTCCTAATAAAGACTTAAAAAATCATACCAGGCCATCCTTCAGAAGAGTTTTCATTTTTTTTCCCTCCTGGGGGCAGAGAAGGTACCAGCACACAGAAGGATGGGGTTTGCCAACAGGAGACATAAAACAAATGTGAGTGATTTTCTTTTTAATCTGAGGAAATGAAAATTCTCATTAGGAAAGGGAGAGATTGCGATTGGCTAGGGGTATTAGAGAAAGCTGCATGAAATTACTGATGTTTAGGAGCTGCCTTGGGGGTGGGGAAGGCTGTCAGAAGCCAACATGGAAGTCTTGACCTAGAAGAGGAGACAGCTCCAGCCCAAGGGAGGGCAGAAGACACAGGTTGGAAGTAGAGGCTCCTGAAAGCAGCAAAAAGGGGAGACAACAAATGTGGACATGCACTCTTCTTGCGGACATGAGCCGGAGAAGTCCAGAAAGAGAGTCTGGGGTGCAGCTGTTGATGATCTCCTGAAGAACTGTGTAACTTGGGCTCACAGGGTTTCAAGTGAGAAAGACAGGACTGAATACAAAAAGGGCATGATCCAGTTGGTTAAACCTGAAAGAAAAATGGATCTGGATCCCTGTTTGAGAATGGTCCTCAATATTTGGTTTTTCACAGCTCCATGCTCCCACCATCACGAAAGCCAAATCAAGGCTTTTTTTTTTTTTTTTTTTTTTTAAAGTGGCCACAGTAGAATAGGCCTTATCCTTATTTGAGTCTGCTGTAAAAAGAAAGCTATTTTCACTACTGGTAAAAGTCCCTCTTGGAGTTTGAACTCCAACATGATGGAGGATGAAAAGAAGCCCTGCCTTTGTTGATGAGTCAAACCTCAAGCAGCACCAGGGGTTTGTAGAGGGTGTTGGTTATGGTCTCAATTTAATTTCAAAGACGAATCTTCACAGACAGAGGATGGCGTGTGGACACACACCTCTTAGCAAACGAATAATGCTCTTTTGTAGAATGCCTCATTATCTCTAGCACGTGTATAGCACGCTGTGCTATCCAAAGCAATTTAGCATGAATGACTTCTTCCATCTCTCAGCCAGGTGAGGTGGGAGTTAACACATGACAAATTAGGAAACTGAGTCACAGAGAGGAACAGTGGTTTGTTCATGTAATTATTTACAAGAGGCACAGTCATAGCTAGAGCTGAAGTTCACTCTAGTGTCCTGTTAATTTGATTTGCTTTCAAGTACTTGACTATCCATGGCATTTGGATGTGTGTTTATGTATTAGGGTGTAGGATGTGTAACGTATGCTTGTGGATGTTGATGGGTGACAGAAATCCATCACAACACTAAACAGTGTAATTAATCCATGTTTTCCCCATGGCTAGGCAAGCAGCAAGCCAGAGCAAGCGCCACCTAACCCATGTTCTCAATGGGGCACAGTGCCACGTGGCACTTTATTTTGCTGTGAATACTTTCCAGTCTGATTGTTTTCACTACCTCGGTATCTTGCTGTCATTATTTTGTATTCTGGCAAATGGCTTTGACTTGTGTTCAAGTATTAGGAAACCAGGTGTCATGCCAATGCCAAGGCAGGGTATTTATCAACTTCACCTGTATAGGAACAAGGACCTTTTGAGGAAGATGGGGAAAGGTGAGAGTCAAGTGGGTGTGCACTGCTACGCATGATTTAAGGACCCCAGAGTATTGATCACTTAATGTGGGAGAGCAGAGGGACTATGTGTCCCGGGGAATAGTGCAGCAACCATCCGGCACCACCCTTCATGAGTTTCCCCTTCATCTCTGAGCAATACATGCCTCTGCTGGGTGTGGGGAATTCAACCCAACTACTTGTCAAAGGCATTATATCTCCTGTCAGCCAATTTTACTACTGTTTTTATTTTTAAAT